CGGACACAATTATGCGAGTTGCATCTCACTGCAGGTGCTGAAATACCGCAGAATCGTTGCTTGACGAAATAACTCCTTCCTCGTGTACCACTCGAAGCAAAAGGTGGCTTTATAGGCCGTAAAATCTTATTGCGTATGAGTCATTCGTCATTTTGCTGGCTATAGCAGCACATTACTTGCTATAAACAATTTTTGTTGAGTCTCTTTGTATGCTTTCTAAATCCACTCATGGAACAGGTTTGCCTCTGTCATGCTTCAGCGATGGGTTATTTGAAATTATTGCGCTATCGAGTTAAAATAATGCCAAACAATAGCTGGGCGGTTATTTGAATAGTCGTAGACTCCATAGTGTTTGGGTACGTGTAGTGCCAAATACATATTGCATCATTTTACTGGCTGAAACAACTCGTTTCCAATCTTGCTCCAGGATTTAACAATCCTGTTTTATTTTAAGCGCCAGCAATGCAAGGCATTCGCAAACCTTTTCGTTAGATCGTTTTAGAAAGCTTGTAAGGATGCTCGTCGGACACTGTTTATGGTGAGTAATTGTTTAGGTAATAAAATGGTGTGAGATGCATCTGGCAGTGAGATGCACCCGTCGCCTTATTTAATATCATTCTAGGTATCTACTAGAAACACTGGGATGTGACGGTGTGAAATACTGTTTTTGGAGTAGTCGAGCACTTCTATGCAGATAACATGAATAAAGTTCTTAGATGAGAACGGGAACTTCAGCACAAGCGTACATGAAATTCCATTGCTCGAATGCTCTAATACATGTTTATCCGCAGATTCAATAGTTACAGACTTGAATGAGTAAGGATGCGGGATACGACTTTGCTTTTACAGTCTATATAATGAGTTGTATGAGTCATTGATTACGACAGTATTGGTATATGTCATATTGATTCCATGTGCACACCGTGTTTTCTCTGGCTTTGATTTTACTACTCTGATTTTATGATTTAATAATGAGATTGTTTTTAATGTTTAGCAGGACATCGTCGTATTTGCGTCCGAAGAAGAACATGATTCGTTTGCCGATGCTGATTGCCCCTCGACGGACCGCTTCAGCAAGTTCGTTCAGTGCGTCGTGGTGGATACCATGTCGCGGATCACCCTGAACGCGCATCTTATTGTATTCAAGTCCCTGTGTTCAGTGGATGTAAGTCCGTGTGTTAGGAGATACGTGACTGCTGCATCGCGTTTATATCTTTCTCTGACAGTATCGCCGCGGAATTAAGGCACCAAAGGCACACTCGGGTGGTCATTTTGTAGTTATGCTTAACATAGTCGTCTATATCGTTACGATCGTCATTGTTTTTACAATCGTTACTTACACTGTTGAGTATTCTGTTTGTGCTTGACAGACGTATTGAAGGAGAGCGTATTAAAACTTATCAGCAGAGGAGGATAATGCCACCGGTGTGGTAGCGAAGCGTATAGGCAATGAGACTTCTAGCCACTCGTCACCATTCCTACAATGCCCTTAATCACGGATTAAGAAGTTAGGTATGTTTGGGAAAATAATTGCAAAAGCCAATTACCTAAGCATTTTCGAATGTATGCAAACGTCGGAGTTTTGTTTCGGTTATTTTAACGTCCTTGTGACAGAAATTGAAGTTATAGATGAAGCAGACATACTTAGTGCGATTAATCGTAAGAATGACTTGTAGATTTTGAGACTACCAGAGACTACCAAAATCGATGGTTTCTTGCGTGCACAGATGTTCGGTATTTCACGAGGCAGACATGATAAATATTAAGTTAGCAGTTTACGATAAACATGCTGTACAGGTCGGGAAGCATAACATTCTCTTCCTGGCGCTGGCAGGTCCTTTTGTACTGACAGACTTCCGGTTGGCTTGCGGTTCTGGAATGGCGATTCGCCGGGAACCATAAGTCATTTTTCTGTGACAATAAAAATTTCTGACATTCGCCTGGCATATGTGAAATATTGTGCGAACAATCGCTGCTTGT